GCAAATGAAAAAACAAACACATTTTTTTTTGTTTGATTTTGTTTTAGACATTAGTTTATTCTGCTTTGGGTTTTATTTTACTTCATTTATACTGCAACCAAACAAAGGTAAAATTTGAAACCAAAATAAATCAAAATTTGCACCCAAATCATTTGCACTACCATAATTTTGCATCAATAAATAGGTTATTATTCTTCACTAAGGCATGCAAAGTGTAGAAAACAAAATAGGAATGTCTTGTTCTTTAACTTTGCTAGTTCATATCCTTGAATTGAAAATTAGATTTGTATGATATTGCTCTTATAGTGTAAAGAAAAACTACTCTAGTAGGATTCAAAACCATGTCTAATATATCAAACAAAGCTTGTAAAATTACATAAAATCTTAGTTTTATCTTTTTCTCACGTCTTCATTATTTATGGATTATATGTAAATTTTAATTTTTCATTAAAGGCTTACACCTCAAGACGCCTGAGCTTGCACTTAATTAGTATTCCTAACTCAAAGCCAGTTCATTATCGTTGATGTTAGGAGTGCTCATGGTTCAATTGACCCAACCATGCATGGACTTTTATTTTAAACCAAACTGATCATTTTTATAAAATCCAAACCAAAAACCAATCGATTTAGTTTTTTAGTGGATATACCACTTGCACTGCGCTGTGTATACGCTAATCATGGTAATGAGTAATAATAAGAAATTATTATGAACATGAATAAGAAATGACAAGCTGTTTTGTTTTTGATATTAGGTGCCATGCATCATTAATAATTTTGCCTTACCTTTTTTTTTTTCTTAAGGCTCTGTTGTGAAAGAATATAAATATTTAAATATGTATATTACAAATATCTATATCAATATCTATATAAATATATTAAGCTGAAATGTGTACCTAAGAAGGTCTAAGGATGAGGGAAATGGAATCTAACAGTATTTTTTGCCTTTTTTTTTCATAGAAATTACAAGAATGTTATTCTCTACCAATTCTCTCTCTCTTGCTTTTTTTTTTCAAATTACAAGAATGCAACTCTCTTTCTCTCTCTCTCTCTCTTTTTCTTACAAATTATAAGAATGCCATCTCTCTCTCTCCTTATAAATTACAAGAATGCCACTCTCTCTCTCTCCAACTAAGGGAGACCTCAGCTCTGCATCTCAACTACTAGGGGACTTGCAATCAAAGGTAGTCGAGTTCGAGCCGAGCCAAGCTCGAACTTCTGAGCTCAAGCTTAAGTCTCTCTAATTTGAATCGAGCTCGAGCTATATGACACCTCATCCACTGAGGGAAACCTCGGCTTGGCACCTCGATCACTGAGGGAGATCTCGGCTCAGCACCTCGACAACTGAGGGAGACCTCAGCTCGACACCTTGTCAACTAAGGGAGACCTTAGCTCAACACCTCGCCTGCTAGGGAAACCTCAGCTCGACACTTCAGCAGTTGAGGGAGACCTTGATTTGGCACCTCGACAATTGAGGGAGACCTCGGCTTGGCACCTCGACTGCTTGAGAGACCTGCAATCAAAGATAGTCGAGCTTGAACTTTTGAGCCTTTGACTCGAGCCAAACTCGACCTCGAACTCAAGTTTCTAATTCAAATCGAATTCAAACCTGATAGTTTATGAGCGAACCCCTGCAGCGCAGCGCAAAGCCCCCTCCGCTAATATACAAAATAATATAAAATATATATAAGGTTTTACAAGATTTGATTGCAATGCTGGAACAAACCGATTAACACACCAACGAGCCAGCCCTCCGTTGGTATAAACGACAAGCTGATTGATCTCTCCTATTCCCTCGTGAATTCTAACATACCAAACCTCTCTCTTGTTGCCTTGTGCTTCATCTCAATTCAGCCACCTGTCTGTCAACTGTCAAACTGTCAATCATCCATGCATGTATATTCAATTTTCAGGTATAATGAATTTCTCATTTCCATTTCCAGAGAGCTGTCCTATTAATTTGACCTTAAAATTCAGTCGGGATCTGTTATTTCAAAGTTTTCTTCTTTTTTTCCTTTCCTTTCTTTTTCTTATTCTGTTTGATATTTCATAATTAATTTCATGTTCTATTTTATTCATTTTAAAAGTTCAATGTTAATTTCGAAATTATTATGAATAGTTCATGCTTTTTTTGTATCGGTGTATTATATAGATAAATAAATATAAAAATACTAAATAAATGTAAAAAAAAAATATACTTTTTTTTGTTGTTATATATTTTGTTTTTTTGTATTATTCATTCTTTCTTCTTACCCCGTTTACCTCATAACTAATAATCTATTCTTCTAAAACACATGTAATGCACAGTGATTATTCTTCACAAATGCATATAGAGATGTAAAACAAAACATGAATGCTTTGCTTATTACATTGCTAATCCATATTCCTGATATTGAACAATTAGATTTATATATGGTATTATTTTTATAACAAGGTGTCAATCAGCTGGTTGGTAACGTCTTTTACTGATCGTACTCGGAATCAAATCCTGTCTGCACTTAAGTCGAGGGATGGGCTACCCCTGTTGTGTAATCCCTCAAAAGAAATCGAAAAGATGTGTTAGAAAACACATTGAACTTATCCCTTGTCCTTATGGCACCCAATCGCCTCGCATCCGCCTTTAGCTTTTTAAAACCCTATCCCTAACAATTTTAGCTCATTATATATAACTTAATTTGGTGCAATATTCATCCTTAGACCAAAACCAGCCTGTTGCCGTTGATGTTCATGTATGCATGTTTTGTTTCCTTTTTGGATATAAAAAGGAGTATATTAGGATTGTAAAAATCTTGTTCGAGCTCGCTATGTATCACTTGCTGCCCAACGGTGCGAAAAGCAAATCCCGAGTGATCTTGTTCATCACATGAGTAATAGGAAATTATGAGTATGATGAATAAAAGACTAGTAGCTGATCTCTGATTCTCTCCTATTCCCTCTTGAATTCTAACTACCAAACCTCTCTCTCTCTCTCTTGTTGTCTGTTGCTTCATCTCAATTTCGGCTATCTATCTGTCAAGTGTCAAACTGTCAATCATCTATACATTCAATTTCCATGTATAATAAATTTGGGAGAATGGCCGTTCAGCCCAAGATCAGAATTCATGGGCGGATAGGAATGCATAGGGTGTGGGTTTTTGACCTTTTGAATATTTATAGAGTTGCAGTCGAATTCAGAATTCTGCATTAGGCCTATCCATACTTCTCTGAATAAATTTCTCCTAGCTGCATGCATTTTTCATTCCTATTGATTTGACCCTCAGTCGGGTCTGCCTCCCGCCGCTTGCCGGGCTGTATTACCTATTACGTCCATAATAGGTTAAGTAATGAATCATGAAAAAACATGACGGTATTTCATACACATAGAATAATAAGTCAGTAAGTCATCAGCAGCAGATATCTCTTATCCACAAACTTTTTCCACATCTGTACCCACAAAACAAACCACATAATGGGAGAATGATTGATCAGCTCAGCTAAAAAATTTTAGTCCTACTGTACAGGGGATGAATCTAATTGTGGATTGATGGCGGTTTATAGGGGGCTATTAGTAGACTATAGGGGCTGTAATTTCAGAATTCTAAATTGGGCTGCAGTGTACTTCTCCCAATATCTTTCAACAACATACAAAGAGAATATTTCCAATTCTGTATTTCCAGGCACCTAAAAATTTCTCTTCTCACAAATCATAATACCAAGTGCTTACACATACAGCTAATCAACCAATTTCATAAAAAAGGACCAATAAAATTCATGGAGTGCTTTAATGGGAGAATAACGGTTCAACCCAGGGTCAGAATTTTTAGGCCCAATGTATAATTGGGATAGGTGCCAGCTCGGAATTAATGCCAATTCACGGGCATGCATTGGTATATAGAATAGGGGTTTTTGACAATTTGAATATTTATAATTCTACAGTGGAACTAAGAAATTTGCATTGGGCCTGTCCCTACTTTTCCCGTGCTTTAATTCGGGTACATACTATTCTGGAAATACCATCAACACAACAAGCAGAAATTCTGTAGGGTTAGCGTGTTCGTGTTTCATACTATGGATTGAATCCCCATGGAACACAGTAGCCAAAAGTCATATGGGCTGGGCCTAGTCCAATTTGTTGAATGAAGCAACAATAAATTTGTTGCATTTGACTGGTGGGTTTTCTGTTATTTTCTTTTTTTTTTTTTTTCTTCTCTTTCGCATTTGACTGGTGGTTAATTAAGTGTGCTGCTTGGAGATGCATTCAGGGGTATATTGTTGACAGAAGAAAGTACGTATAATCAACCAATGGGGATGCTGGGTGGTGGTATGAGATCTAGTTTGGAGTTTAAGTCATTGAATTGTTCAACTCAAGAGATGTTAAAGGCTGTATTTGGTTTGAAAGAAAAGTTAGGAACACCTATGGAAGGTTTGTATAAGTCCCTTTTCTTTCAAACCAGACACACCCTAAAGGACCCATATCTCCAATGTTGACAGTGTAACTTAACAGTATTGTGGGCCTTCCAAATCAGTGGTTGAACAGGCCAGGCCCATCAGGTGATCCTTATCACTTATCACTGCCTAATTAGTTAACAAAGATATTACATTAAATGTAAATGGATCATGGGTTCTTAATTAAGGGTCATCATAGCATTAACAAAAAAATTAATTCTACAAATTAGGTGAAATCAAACATACTCCATTTGTCTAATACCAAAATGGGTGCCTATCTATTGGATTATTATTATCTAGCTACTTATAGCAGTCTGAGGAAACGTATCACAGTATTCCCTCTTGTATATATGCTATATATAATAATTCCCTATAGTCCTACACCATGGTACCAAAGTGAAAATTAAAAGCCGAAAAAGAAGAAGAAGAAGAAGAATCAATTCCAAAGAAAGAATATCCCACTGAATGCCAAGCCTCTCAGTGGGTGGATTTACACATAAATATGTAAGCAGGGATGTGATACATATCTTGGGCATACTTAGAATGGAAATGGAAATCTGACTCATCCACAGCCCCAAGAAGGTTTGACATGTTGGGTTGACTTCTGAGGAGTAGAAGCAAAAACGTGTTCCATTTGATCTAACTCAAACAATTTTACGTACAAGTAATTAAGTTCTTCCCAGTTAATTAGCTCTAGACTCCAGTCAGGCAGTCACCCGATCACCACCACCTCCACCCTCACCCTATATATACATAGAATCCATCTACCGATCGACAGAATTAATTACAAGGTCTAAACTCGAAACCCCAGAAAGAAAAACAGATATGGACGGCCAGAGCTCAAGCACAGAGAGCAGCACTACACAAGCAGTCACAAGCAAAGCATTTACAGGAGTAGGCAACCTCATCAAGCTTCTTCCCACCGGGACGGTCTTCCTGTTTCAATTCCTGAGTCCAGTCTTAACCAACAATGGCGAATGCAATACCAGTAACAAGTACTTGACGGGGATTCTTCTTGTTGTTTGTGGAATCTCCTGCTGTGTGTTATCTTTCACAGACAGCTACACAGATAGCAAGGGAAACACCAAGTATGGGATAGCAACTACGAGTGGAATGTGGCCCTCATCATCAGATTCAGTAAACCTCTCAGACCACAAGCTTCAGTTGAGGGACTTCGTTCATGCTTTCTTCTCACTGATTGTGTTCATGGTGGTGGTTCTCCTGGACCCTAACGTTGTCCAGTGCTATTATCCCTCGTTCAAGTCAGATCAGGAGCTGTTGCTGAAGATTCTGCCTCCCATAATCGGTGCTCTCTCCAGTTCTACGTTTGTGATATTTCCCAGCAAGCGGAATGGGATAGGATACCCCCAAACCCAGCAGTCTTAGACTCACGGAGAATACGAATTATTTCATGGTTAATCATATTGTGTGTTCTTCTGAAGATTATTATTGCCTGATTTTAACTGTATTAATTATATGGATTTCTATTAGTTTCTTAATTTGTTCTGTAACTGTGAGGGTGTGTTGATTAATCTATTCATCAAACAGAAAAGTGAAGGATGTGTAGTTGGCTTGATTTTCGATCCATTTCTTATTCTAAGTAGTGTTGTTTGGCAAATTCAATTCATAGAGCTTCCTTCTGAAAACTGTTAATTATGTGTTTATATCAAGCATTAATTATTACACAGTGAGTGCAGTAGTTCATAGTTCATAGACAGATGCTCCCATTCCATGCAGGGTTTGTGAATGTGTGATTGAATATCTCTTGATTTTAATCAACAACAGGCAACAGCTAGCTTAATTATCAATATTCAGACGAGAGGTTTATTAATTTATGTTTCTAATTACAATCTGCATTCAAAGGAAAATGTGATCATAGCAATCTGTCTATGCTGCATGATCAACCTCTACCTACTTCTTCTCGGTTGTTTAATAGTTATTAAAGGTAGACCAATCTTCCTGAACGTTTATGTTTCTCATGTTTTTGTTTAGGGAAAATCTATGATATGGTATGAAAAGAGTTTTGACCAATCAAAATTTACCCATAAATTTTGATAAATTACACCCGACTGGCTATCACGTTTATGATTCCAATTGACTGATCAGAAGTTTTTCAGATATCATATCTTTTCCATATCATAGTTGAACTCGTTTGTTTATCAAAATTTACGTGTGGGTTTTGATTGATCAAAACTCTTTCTGCCAGTATCATGTCTTCCCCGCATCATAAATTTTCCCTTTGTTTTAAGAATTAATTTGTTTTCAAACCAGCTGGTTTTATTCTGTTCTTGGAACCGGAAACAAGAAAAACAATTCACATCAGAAAATACCCATTTTTAAACAGGATTCGAGTGGAATAATCCCACCGCATTATCTTGCAAGGTTCAAAATATCAATACACCCTGATATGACGAAATTAAATGATGCATGTATCATTATTTTGTAGCTAGCACTTTATAGTTTATAGTTTATAGCTTTTTTTTTTTTTTTTCAAAATTTAAGGAGGACTGGAAATAATGTTTATTAGCATTTAAAATAATCAGTTTTTCTTAAAATACCTTAGGGAAATTTATGATTTGCTCCCTTTAGAAATTTTTATTCCAAACCTCCCCCTATCTATACTACTGTGATAAATTCTATTGTGATAAATTCTCCTACCGAGTCAAGTGGACTGCCCGTCACGAGTTTTTAATTTATGTATTTATTGATAATTTTGGAGTATTTTTAATTAAAATCAGTGTTTTTGGGTTGGATTCGATGAGTCAAGTCGTGAGCCAATGGTTATTATTAATTTATTAATTATACTCAACTCGTTGTACTGCTAGGAATGGAGTAGTTGAACATCAATTCAGATTGTCTTGACTCATGGCGGCTTCCTCCCTTTGAATGAAAAATGAAGAAGAAACTTTTGTGAAGTTCTCCGGCTACAACTGCCGGTCTTCAACCACTAACTAATGTTGCTAAACGAGCAAGTGGTCTTGAATGCCTTGAACGAGAGGCTTCACATTTAAATACTGTTCTTAAAATGGGTGTTGTTGTGTTACATTACCAAAAGAAAGGGTGATTTTATAATTTGTGTAATTTCATTAGTTCTCACCATTATTTCTAATGCTTTAAAATCCAATCTAGAATCAGAACCGCTTTAGCCACTGGTTTCTGGGATAACAGTTCAACCATCTGATCTGAAAAAACTATTGTTTAGGTCAAATTGGTTGACGGTTTAAGCATTCGGGTCAATGAATCATTGATTAAATTAACAGTTTTTGGCGAAAGAATGATTCAAGGGTAAAACAGAGCCAATTGCTTGACTGATTTTCAGGCCGAATGATCGGAGAGTTCGAAAACCATGATTATCCATATTAACTGATAGGGGGCAAACTGTTGGAATCTAAAAGTATGAGGGGTCTTTGTTGCAAAGAAAAATCTAGGGAATCAAAAGTTTCACAACCCCCTAAACACAGGGTGGATGCCTGTAATTTACCCTAAAAATGAGCAAAAGGAAGCTCTAACAACTGGTCAAGCAGCTGTAGCTTAATTATTCAACAGATTCAGCTATTCCAATGGCTACGCTGAACAGATGTTGGCCATGCAACCAATAGTCGCATGGCATTGTTTATCCACCAATGCGTCGTCCACGGAATACCTAGTGACTGGTTCGTGGGGCTGGCAAAGAAGGATCCAGGATCTTGATTAAATAGTTTACAATTTGTCTGATCGGTAGAGGCATCTAAACAAAAAGAGCAGATTATTTGTATAAATTAGATCTCCTGCATTTTTTTTTATTTGGTTACCTATTAATTATGCTATGTATTGGGGCTATCAATGGGTCGATTCTGCCCGATTGCCCCAATTAATCCAATCGAATTGATGATTATGTTAGTTCTGGTTTCATGATTTTGTCCCCATTAATAGTCGGGTTGGTTCGGGTTTTTGTTTGTTGTGAACTGATTAGGATCCAAATTAATTATTTTATTAAATTTATATATATATATAATGTTTTTCTAATTTTATTATAACTTTTATTATATTTTATATTTAAAATAGTAAATTTGATAGATAATGTATATGATAATATTAATTAAAAATGTCTAATTTATTAACATATAAATAATTTAGTATTTTATTATCATTTCTATTAAAATTATGAAAATTTACATTTTAAATTATTATTTAAATAAACAAATATAGTTTTCAGAATAATCGGGCCAATCGGGTAAGACCCCATAGGACCCAAATACCCCACTATTATGGTCTTGGGTCTTTGTCCTAATTAATAGTTAGTTCGGGACTGGTTCTACCTAGAAGTGACCCAGACCCCACCGGTTGTCAGCCCTACTATCTACGGATTATGGGTTGATACTTATTAAAATGTTTATATATTTTAAGCGATTCATTAGAACTAGTTTCCTAATAAAAAGCAAATTTGACTTTACTCCTCACATAGCGTGCCTCACACCAACCTCACAGCACATGGCAGTCCTGCAATGGGAACACCTTCCCATGAATGACAAAATCAAGTACAAGAAATGTTCTTAATGCACAGATGAAAACAATGTGAGGTTAGTGTGAGGTACGGAAATGGAAAGGATTTTGGATTTGTGGGAGAATTTAAATGGCCTCATGTTTTTTTTTTTTTTGAAATCTGGCCCTACGTATGTTTTTTTTTTTTCAAAAGCCGGTCCCATATTTGATGTTTTTATTTTTTATTTTTTTGGTAAATTATTGATAGTCAACCCTTACGAGGTGGCAATTAGGAGTCCAAATCTGCTTCCAACAAAAACACTTCCAACATGGTCTATATCCACACATCTCAAACATGATTGCTATCTCAAAAGTATGACCCCATCAATGTGTCCAAACATACATATTTGAGTTGTGCAGATAAAGCCTATTGGAAGTGCTTTGGTTGGGAGCATATCCGGAAACAACACTTAGACCCCCAACAAACTTTGTTTTGCATCTCCCCCAAAACTTCTAGATTCCAACACTTTGCCCTCTACCTACTAAATAACAAGGTTGACGATGAAAGTAAAAGTACTAAGAGCGTGTTTGGCAAGTCTTTTTGTGTGCTCTTTCGAGTTTTCAATGTTTGGAAGACTAAAATTTGGTCTTTCTCTACTAAGTAATGAAAGACAGGAAGTCGATGAAAAAGACCTATTCCCTAAAAATTAGGCTCATAAAAGCCCAAAATGGCTAAAAATCCAAAAGCTTCAAATGAAGGTTCCTGACTTTTGTACACTAGAAATCTTTCATTTAACATCTAATTTGTGTGAAAACGAAGCAAGTTCTTCATGTAGCTGTTGGGCATTTCCAAATGTATCTTGAAAAGAGTTGTAGAGCATCAAAGACTTTAATTACCTCCAAGGGTTCTCACATTTCTTTGGAGATGCCTAACCCATTGCTTACCAACTAGCACTAACATGGCGAGGCATATGCCCAAAGTAGATGGAAGTTTAATGGGGGTGTTCCATTTAAAATGTGTGCTATTATAATGTGGGACTCGTGGAAAGCCAGGTGCAAAAAACTAAAGAAGGGTGAGGCATTTTGTCCTAAATCGATCATTAGGCTCAGTTTGGAAGGAGTATAAATGCAAATATGTAGAGTGCAAAACCTTATATTTTGTATGTATTTGCACGGTATATATTTATATTTGTACTCTTTCCAAACTGAGCCTAAAGGAGTGCCTCACAGAGCTCTGTAAACATAAAGATTTGGAGTGCCAAAACTTATCTAGCATTCCCTTGTCAGCATTCTAGATCGTGGTCTCCACCGCCAGCTAACTTCATTAAGATGAATTTTGATGGGGCTTCTAACGATATCCAGTCTGGTCTTGAGTGTTTCACAACCACAAGAGGGAGTTTTGCTTAGGTCGTGTCGCCAACATTCATTGGGATCTCCCGAGGTCATTGAAGCTCTTGCTGTTAGGAAAGACTTGCAGATTTTATGGATTGAAGGAGATGTGCAACAGATTATTAAGGAAGATAGAACATAGTGTTCAGCACCCCATCAATAATAACCCTCTTGTTAACAACGCCTTCAGGATAAAGCATGAAACCATGCATGATTTTAGCAGTGATAACTTGCTCCTTCCTCCGCATTATGTTCATGATGATCTCATGCCTACACTTTTAAAGCAGGTCAGTTTTATGTGATTAGTTTTGTATTTTTGTCAAACCTCAAGGCCTCAGAGGGTGCTTTTTGTTTACTCTCTTCACATTTTCTTTTGTTTTCTAGCAGCAAGAAGGCATTGGATCTCTTGAGAATGAGTATAACTTTGATGGATATACCATGGATAATGTTCCAGTTTAGTAGAGGACCCAACCTCTTCTATGGTGGCAATTTTCCAATGTCTGATCTGCATGATTCTTTTCAAAGAAAAAAATGCTTGTACTATTTGGCAAAACATGCTTGTACTATTTTAAGATCAAATTCTTGGTTGGTTTTTCCTACTATCTTATTACCTATACTTCTGAAAGATTCTATGCAATGAAACAGCCTATGGGATTTCAAAAAAAAAAAGTATTTTTGTTTCTTATCTATAAATTCTATATCCAATATTTTTAATAATGTAAAACCTATGTTTAATA